CTAGAGGATGTGAGGAGACGTCATGAGGCTCGCGAGTACGGGGAGACACTCCCCTGGGCGGTCGTCGAGGTTGGCATCCGCGCTATGTGGGCGTCGGAGCACCCTTCTCGACCAGCTTCTCCTCGACCGTTGAACATAGCAGGCGGCGTCGACGTGGGCGTCACGCCGATGGTACCAGGTCGGCAGCAGTACGGGAGGTGCGTCGAGGCAGAGAGGAGTTATCCACGCCGATGAAGTCGGCGGCGTTCAGGCGCGAAAGATGCAGTCATCGGCGGCTGCAGAATTCTTGCAAGGCGGCGTCAGAGGTCGTCGAAGCGGATTGACGCCTTCTTCGGCGACTCACGTGACAGCGGGTAGAATAGCGCCGAGCTACAGCTATTTCAAGTTTACGCCAGACAGAATCTCAGTCACTTCCATGCTGGTCGGTCGTCCCGACATACTCACATGGAAGGAGGTGATCGAGCCCCAGCTAGAGATGGCCGGGCTGAAATGCTTCGCCGACGGCACCGTGGCGACGCCGTAGGAGAGCAACCCTGAGCTGCATGTGGAGTTTCGCGTTGTGCAGCTGCTGACCTTCACGGTCATCTCGCGGTGCTGCTCGCCGGGCGTGCAGATTGCCCTGAAGCCGTGAAGGGACTACCTGGACGCCGGCCACCAGGCGTGGCACTTCATCGAGTCGACGTACCAGTTCACCGACAACCTGTACATCGGCCAGCTCAAGGAGCAGTGACGCATCTGCGAATGGGCGGCCAGGAAACTGCGATCGACTATTTCAACCGGGCTCGGAGACTTCTCGCCACCATGAGGATGGCCGGTGCTCCACGGCGTCGTACATCATGCACGTCCTGAAGGGGCTCCCAAGCAGCTATAACCTGATGAAGCGAATGTCGGTGGTGCCGAGCACGCGGGCAACGCTCAACGATGACTCCCTGACCTCGTACATCCTGCGGAACAAGGCGATGGAGGAGGCCAAGCGATCGATGGAGCTCCTGCCGCAGGTGAACTACGTCGCCCCGGCAAAGCAAGGTAGTCGACCAGGGTAACGCGGGCAGTCTAGCGGCGGTAAAAGCAGTGGGTGGAAGCCGGAAAGGATGCCGACAAGAGGAAGTTGGCCCAAGATGGTAGTCGAGGAGGAGAAAGTTGACGTTGGGAGTGCTGGATCTGCCATAGCTCCAACTACCTCTCATTCGAGTGCCATCACCGCAGTGACTCCGACGACGACGACGCCAAAGGAGGCCGAGGGAGTTCGGCCGGGTGTCGTCCTCGTCGGGAGAGGAAGCCATGCAGGGAGAAGCAGTTGACCAAGTGGTCGACCTCGGTGAAGGACCCTAACTCCTCTGCTAGCGGCAAGGGGCGAGACAACTAGGAGGCGTCGTGCTCGTTGGTCGGCGTCGTGAAGCCGACCGACTCGCTGGCGCCGGAGGCCAGCGAGGACTTCCAGGCGGTGGCGGCAGCTGTGCAGGCAAACCCGGCGGTGGTCCTACTTGATAGCGGCTGCTCGCACCATCTGATGGGGACAAAGCAGGCCTTCGTTGACCTGGAGCCGAGCAGCGACGTGAAGCACGTGCGCGGCTTCAATGGGGTGCTGAAGGACGTTCACGTCTGTGGCACCGTCGCCCTGCAAGACGACGCTAGAAAGCAAGTGCTCATCCCCAACGTGCTCTACGTTCTAGGCGTGAAGGCGAACCTGCTCTCTGCCAGCCAGCTGAAGGAGAACGGCGTGAAGCTGCATGAAGAGGGTGACGGGATGCTGCTCGTCTCAGCGGCGGGGACGTACTCGGTCGTGCGTCATACACCGGCCGAGTCCTCTGCACTGACCTATGTCCCTGCTCGGCGACGTCAATGGAGGTGGTGGCCCTGCATGCGATAGACTCGGCGACGAAGTCCACGCAGGACTGGCTGCATGCGAGGCTCGCGCACGTCGGCATGGACACCATCCGGAGCTCGGCGAAGCACGAGGTCGCCACTGGGCTGGACCTCAAGCCGGCATCCGGCGCCAACTCACGGTGCGTTTCCTGCATGGGCGGGAAGCTGGCGCTGCCGCCGGGGACGACGCCGTACCAGCTGCTCACCAGGAAGAAGCCCGACTTGTCGCTGGCACGCGTGTGGGGCTGCATGGCGCAGTTCTTGGTCCCCGAGGAGCAGTGTGGTGGGAAGCTGAAGCTGAAGGCCCGATGGGGCCTTCACCTCGGTGTGTCGGAGGAGAGCAAGGGCTCGGAGCTCCTCGACCTCACCGACAAACGGGTGGTCACCACGTTGGACGTGGTGTTCTACAAAACGATGTCGCTGGAGGTGTGGAAGTCGGAGTACGGGCCAGCGTCGGGGCGAACACAGGTCAACCCGCCGACGGACACCTCGATGGCGACGCTCCCTTTGCTCGCCGAGATCCGTGAGCCTGCTGCTGAGGACGCCGAGGACGTCCGCCCTCGTTCCCCTTCCCCTGCCCCTCCTGCACCTCCCCTCGTGGCCGACCTGCATGGGCTGACTCCGGTGCCGGCCTCCGGCGATAAGGGGAGACGTAGGGCGTCGCCTGTGGCGCCGGCCACGTGCGTTCGCCAAGTCAGCATGGGAGTGAATTCGACGCCGACAGGGGAGGAGCAGGCAGAGGAGGTGCAGCCGACTTTGGTGGAGCCGGCGAAGGAGGCATCAGCAAAGAAGCTGCCGACAGGGGAGCAGCCAGCAGTGAAGCCGTCCACGGAGCAGTCGGCGACTGGGCAGTCGGCAGGGGAGCTGACCGCAGGTGAGAAGTTGGCAAGGAAGCCGACTGAGGTGAGGCAGGACGACGAGGGCAGCAAAGCTGGTGACGATAAAAGGAAGCAGTCGGGCGCTGAGGATTCTGCTGACAGCTACGTGGTGGAGGTCCAGGCTGGGCTTCGTTAGTCAGGCCGAATTTGGAAGCCGCCCGATTTCTACGTACCGGCTGCCTTCACCACAATGTACGACGAGGTCGACGACGACCTGCTGTACGAAAATGCCGAGGAGGATGAAGAATTGCCGGAGCTTGACCCTGACATGCACGCCCACCCCGAGCTCCGCTGGGACATCCCCATGATGTCGGTGAAGGAGGAGCTGGCGAGGTGGAAGGGCACAGCGACGAAGGCCGCCATGGAGGAGGAGATCCGCATCCTCATTTGCATGGGGACCTGGGAGCTAGTCGAACGCCCACCCGGGGTGAACATCATGAAGTACCACATCGACGACACCGTCGAGCGCGAGAAGGGCTTCACGCAGGTGAATGGCGCCAACTATGACGAGACGTACGCGCCGGTGAGCAGCTACGTCACGCTTAGGACCTTGGCATCGTCGTTGTCCTCAACCTCAAATTGATCCAGCTTGACATGAAGAACGCTTTCCTGCAGAGTAAGCTCGACCGCATGCTGTACATGAACCCGCCGGACTACTTTAACGACGGGACTCGCTGGGTGTGCAAGCTGCTGAAGAGCCTCTACGGGCTGAAGCAGTCGCCGCTGCTGTGGTACAGGGCTCTCGACGGCGTGCGCTGGGCGCTGGCTAGAAAAAGAGCCAGGTCGAACTGACGCTCTACTTCAAGGTCGGCGACGACGGTGTGGCCTGCTGGGTGCTGGTCTACGTCGACGACCTGCTCACCGCCAGCAGCAGCACCGAGATGCTGAAGGGACTGAAGGAGCTTTTGGAGGCAGCTTTCAAGCTAGGCGAGATCTCGCCGGTGCAGAAGTACATCAGGCTGGAGATAGTGCGCAACAGTCTGGCAAGGAAGCTGTGCCTGCAACAACAGGGCTACGACGACAAGCCGCGTCTTGGTCGACGCTTACGCCGAGCTAACGCTCGACGAGGAGGAGGAACATGAGCTCCAGGAGGAAGAGTACCGGCAGAAGATCGGCCCGCTGCAGTTCGCGGCGACGACGACGAGGCCAGACATCGCCTTCGCCTGCAGCAAGCTGGGGAGCGGCCTCACGGTGAGGAGCGACCAGCACTGGCGCGAGGTTGACCGCTGCCTTGCCTACCTCGCCAACACAAGTGTCACCGCCCTGGAGTTCGCCGGTGGACCAGAATTGCTGAATCTGGTCGGCTACGTGGACGCCGACGACGCCGGCAACAAGCAGAAGCGGACGAGCACGAGCGGCTACGTGTTCGTCTACGGAAGGGCCGCGGTCTCCTGGTCGAGCCAACGCGTCAAGTGCGCGACGCTGTCGTCGACCATGTCGGAGTACGTGGCGGCCACCGAAGCCGGCAAGGAGGGACGTGTCGCGATATATATTTATATATGTTTATAACTGCCTGTAGCTTTAGCTTTAGTGTAGTTATGTTTCTTTGTTGTGGTGGTGCACCTCTTTGTTTCTTTGCTATATGTTCTTGCAAACCTATAGTGAAGACACACATTCTCGATTCTCTCTTGGCACAACTCCCTCGACACCCGCTTGGCCTAGGCTACTAAGCCTAGGCCCTTAGTTAAACCCGTTCCTAGCTAAGTTCGTCTCGTGACATGGTATAGAGCTAGGTTTCCCTTAGGCGATTTTTCCCCTAGGCGATTTTTTCCCTTAGGCGAAATTTCTCTCGATAGTCTATGGGCCCACCACCCGCGCGCCTCGTAGCGACCCATAGCCCGAAGCGCCCTGCCCCGTAGAGCCCGAGTAGGTCGCGCCCCCCGTCGACATCGTGCGTCACCCGTTTCTGCCCTGCGCCCCACCCGTTTTTTGCCGAGCGTCACTCGGTTTTTAGCCCCGCGCCCCACTCGTTTTACCCCGCGTGTTGCTCCCCAGTCCTCTAGCGCGCAGCAGACGAACGCACGTAGCTGCGCGCGCAGCCTTAGTCGCACCCGCAGCTCCGCGCTAGTACGTCGTAGCCGCGCGCACGTGCAGCCCACCGTCGTAACCGGCCCCCAGACCTGAAATCCCCCTCAGAACCGCACAGAACCGCCGCCTTAACAGCTTCCCCACCTGAAAACCACCGCCCCAGACCTGACAACCGCCGCCCCACCTGGAAACCTGTTGCCCCACCCGTTCCAGGCACCTCACCCGGGATCAGCCGCCCCACCCAGTCCTCTTCACCGCATTGAACCGCACAGAACTGCACATAACTGCACAGAACCAGCCCCAGCGCCAGCCGCCAGCACCAGGAACCAGCCCCAGCGCCAGCCGCCAGCACCAGGAACCAGCCCCAGCGCCAGTCGCCAGCACCAGGAACCAGCCCCAGCGCCGGCCGCCAGCACCAGGAACCAGCCCCAGTGCCAGCCGCCAGCACCAGGAACCAGCACCAGCGCCAGCCGCCAGCACCAGGAACCAGCCCCAGCGCCAGCCGCCAGCATCAGGAACCAGCCCCAGTGCCAGCTGCCAGCACCAGGAACCAGCACCAGCGCCAGCCGCCAGCACCAGCACCAGCAACCCCACCTATGACCAGCAGCCCCACCTGTGACCAGCAGCCCCACCTGTGACCAGCAGCCCCACCTATGACCAGCAGCCCCACCTGTGACCAGCAGCCCCACCTGTGACCAGCAGCCCCACCTGTGACCAGCAGCCCCACCTGTGACCAGCAGCCCTACCTGTGACCAGCAGCCCCACCTGTGACCAGCAGCCCCACCTGTGACCAGCAGCCCCACCTGTGACCAGCAGCCCCACCTGTGACCAGCAGCCCCACCTGTGACCAGCAGCCCCACCTGTGCCCAGCAGCCCACCTGTGAAAGACTGTACAGGGACCATCGTGGGTTGGGAGAGGTATGGAGGAAGACAGGGGTGGAGGGAGTGCGGTTCCAGGGGGCGACTGAAATGGGGGGTGAGGTTGAGGGCGGGTGGTTGGTTGGGGGTGGGGATGTGGGGGTTAGTAAGAGGGGACGCTGCGGCCACCCCCCCACCTCTTCTCCTCATCCCCCACTCAACCCCCCCTTTCGTAAAAGGGGGTTAGTAAGAGGGGACGCTGCGGCCACCCCCCACCTCCTCTCCTCATCCCCCACTCACCTCCTCCTGTGTTCTTATCTATTCTCCTCTCCTCTCTTCCTCTTGCCTCCTCCTCCTCACGTACCCCTCTGCCGTCTCCCACCGCACCTGCCCCTTCAGGGGGTGTGACTTGCTCTAGCTATGTGCTGCAGGCAGTTAAGGGGGTGTGTCGCGATATATATTTATATATGTTTATAACTGCCTGTAGCTTTAGCTTTAGTGTAGTTATGTTTCTTTGTTGTGGTGGTGCACCTCTTTGTTTCTTTGCTATATGTTCTTGCAAACCTATAGTGAAGACACACATTCTCGATTCTCTCTTGGCACAACTCCCTCGACACCCGCTTGGCCTAGGCTACTAAGCCTAGGCCCTTAGTTAAACCCGTTCCTAGCTAAGTTCGTCTCGTGACAGGACGCCGCCTTCGCTTCCTCCTTGCAGAGTTCCGGCAGTTGGACGCTGGGACGCCGACCGTCCTTCGGGTGGACAAGAAGTCGGCCATCACAGTCGCCAAGGGCATGGGGTTGACGGGCAACCTCAAGCACATGGAGCGGCGACAAGCCTCGCTGCAGCACATGGTGAAGCACGGGAAGTTCATGCTGAACTACATCCCGACTACCGAGCAGCCGGCCGACTTCCTGACGAAGGCACTGCACTATCCGGTCTTCAACCGGTGCCCCGTCGCAATCAACCAGGTGCGCCTGGCCGACGTGGGTGACGGCGACGACGACATGCAGCAATAGGTACCATGCTCTCTTGCATGGTTGATGCGGCGACCGACATGCTGTGTGTTGCATGCACGCCGACGAGCTATTATTCGAAGGTTGATGCCGTGTGGGCTAGAAGGGCCCAAGCGTGAACGTGGCAGGGGATTGTCAACGGGAATTGTGTTAGGCCCCGTCCTCGCTTGGGCGGAGCCGACCTCGTGGTCGGGTGTGTGGGAGGTGAAGCCGACCTGTAGCAGTGGGTGAGCTGGTCGACAGGGCTGGTCGACTAGGACGGGGGTCACTGCAAGGGCGCCGACTTCGGAGGGCGCCGAGTGTGGGTGGTCGACCAGGCGAGGTCGAACTCGGAGGCGTCGACTTGAGGACGCCGACTTGGTGCAGCTGACTTGGCGTGGATGGCTGGCATCTAGGCTGGTCGACTTGGAGTTGGTCGACCAGGAGCGTGGTCGACCTGGAGTTGGCCGACTTGAGGTGGTCGTCGACCAGCGGGGTCGAGGGGCACGAGGAGGAGCTGGTCGACAAGGTGGTTGCCTGTTCGACCAGGTTACCCGGGCGACGGGGTTCTGTGGAGAACTGCGACGGTCGCCCAGGTGTTCGTGGTGTGGCCAGCCTTGGTGTGGTATCCCGAGGTCAACGTGGCTGATCAGGTGCAGTCGTCGACACGAGGACGATTTGGTGTGCTCGATATGCAGGTGACGAGGCAGAGCACGCCAATCATCTGCGAGCACCTGCGAAGCGGGTGCGCTACTGTCCTGCGGGTGCAACGTTGGCACGCCGTCGACTTGCAGCGTTGGCGGGCCGTGACTTTGCTTTGCTGGAGCGCGGTCGACCAAGTTGTGGTGAAACGCGGTCGACCGAGCTGCGCTGGAAGTCGATTGACTTGCATGCTAGCTCTGATGTAGTCAGTCTTGCCAACTTTGTTGCTATCATTCTGAATCATTGTTGACAACCTTCCTTAGTGAAACTCTAGCCAATTTCCCCGTGAACTAGCAAGCAGCGAGAGCACAAGGAAGCGAATAAGGAACGAACGCAGAGATCACCTAGCCCGTAGTCTAGCTCCTGTTGATCGAGTTATCTCCGCAAATAAATGCGCTACTTAGCCATATGAGTGCTGCTAAGAGTACATGCGTTTTTACCCATATGAGTGATACGAATAGTAAGTGCGATACTTAGCCATATGAGTGGTACTAAGAGTTAGTGCTTTATTAGCCATACGAGTGGTATTAGGAGTAAGTGCGTTACTTAACAATATGAGTGGCACTAAGAGTAAGTTCGTAACTTAGCCGTATGAGTAATACTAAGAGTAAGTGCGTTACATAGCCGTTAGTGGCACAAAGAGTAAGTGCGTTACTTAGCCATACGAGTGGTACTAAGAGTAAGTGCGTTACTTAGCCATATGAGTGGTACTTGGAAAAAGTGCGTTACTTAGGGATACGAGTAGTAATAAAAGCATGTACGTTACTCAGCCATACGAGTGGTAGTAAGAGCAAGCGAGTTACTGAGCTGTGTGAGTGGTACTAAGAATAAGTGCGTCACTTAGCCATACGAGTGGTACTAAGAAGAGGTGCGTTACTTAGCGATATGAGTGGTACTAAGAGTACATGCGACACTTAGTCATATAAGTGGTATGAGGAAAACATGCATTACTTAGCTGTATGAGTGGTACTAAGAATAGGTGCGTTACCATATGAGTGGTACTAAGAGTATGTGAGATACTTAGTTGTGTAAGTGGTATTAAGTGTAAGTGCGTTACTCAGCCATATGAGTGGTACTAAGAGTAAGTGCGTTAGGTAGGGATACGAGTGGTACTAATAGTAAGTGCATTACTTAGCCATACGAGTGGTAGTAAGAGTAAGTTAGTTACTTAGATGTATGAGTAGTACTAAGAGAAAGTGCGTCATTTAGCCAAAGAGTGGTACTAAGTGTAAGTGCGTTACTTAGCAATACGAGCGGAGTAAGAGTAAATTCGTTAATTAGCCTTATGAGTGGTAGTAGGAAATAATGCTTTACTTAGCTGTATGATTGGTACTAAGAGTAAGTGCATTACTTGTCAACAAGAGTTGTGCGTTACTTAGCCATATGAGTGGTACTAAGAGTAAGTTCGTTACTTAGCCATATGGTTGGTACTAAGAGTAAATGCCTTATCTAAGGATATGAGTGCTACTAAGAGTAAGTTACTTAACGATATAAGTGCTAGTAAGAGTGCCTTATTTAAGGATATGAGTGCTAGTACGAGTATGCGCGTTACTTAGCCGTACGAGTGGTACTTCAAGTATGTGCGTTACTTAGCCGTATAAATGGTACTTAGAGTAAGTGCGTTTTTAGCCATTAGAGTGGTACTTGAGAAGAAACGAGGAATGAAATGACTAAGGGAAAGTTGGGTACAAATGCAAACCCTAAGAAAACTGTACCCCATATGTGCTACCCCACTATAGCCTACACAGACTATGTCATATAAATCTGACACACCCCCATAGGCAAAGTGGGGGAGAACAAGGGGTCACAAGACCAGTCAAGCAAAGCAAAACAAGCTCAGGGTGGATCACAAAGTCACCACACATTCCGAGCACAAGTTCAAGGCCACAAGGCCAGTTCACATGCAGGATTACATATATATATAAGGCTAGACAAGCAAGAGCAGGTGTATATATATATGCAACAGTACAAACAAGGTCAAGGGGTGAGCAAGTGAGGCAAGGTAGGCACAAGACCCAGCTGAGTACAGAAGCGCTGATGATCACAAGGCGCAAGTGCCTTGGTGAAGATATCAGCAGTGTTGGCCTCAGAGGCCACGTACGCAAGCCGCAGCTGACCACGCTGCTGTAGCTCACGAGCAAGGAAGTAGCGGAGAGCAATGTGCTTCGTTCTGTGCTCCAGTCTCTGCTCTCGACACAAGGCCAGCATGGCCTTGTTGTCTACGTACAGTACTGGAGGAGAACGAGGCGGCTCTCCGAGGTCAGTCAGCAGGTAGGTGAGCCAGCGAAGCTCCTGTGCAGCCATGGCCCCGGCGTAGATCTCAGCCTCACAACTGGAGCCGAGAACAGAAGACGAGCGGGTAGCCCGCCACGAAACAGAGCCGGAACCAAGGCTGAAGGTGTAACCCTGTGACGACCGCTGCGTAGCCTGGTCGTCAGCCCAAGAAGCGTCTGCGTGCCCAGTGAGGACCACTGGACTCTGCCCTCCAAGCACAAGCCCCATGCCCGACGTACTGCACAAGTAGTGCAACACCCTCTTCGCTGCAGCCATGTGCTCCGGTCTGTGTCTCCCAGGAGCAACATAGCGTGCAAGAATGCTAAGAGGGTATGCAAGGTCAGGTCGTGTGCAGGTCATCAGGTACATGAGGCAGCCAACAAGCTCTGGGTACGGGCCACTCGACTCTACGGACTCATCCGAAGGCAGAGCTGAGAGCGAGTGGCGAGTAGGCAGAGGAGTGGCCTGAGGCGAGGAGTACGTGAAGCCGAAGCGCTGAAGGACCTGCTGCACCATGTGTGACTGAGTCAGGGTAATGGTGCGGCGTGCTCTGTCCCGGGTGATCTGCAAGCCAAGGTAGCTACGCAGTTCACCCAGGTCTGTGCACGTGTGTCTCTTCTGCAGCTCGGACTTCACGTGGGCGAGTCCAGCAGTGTCAGCTGTGGCGAAGACCAAGTCGTCGACGTACACGGGGATGTAGAACGGCGGCAAAGAAGTGTCGGTGCGCAGAAACAGCGACGTGTCGGCAGTAGAGGGAGCAAACCCAAGAGCCGCAAGTGTAGTCCTCAGTGTGTCGTGCCACTCACGCGGTGCCTGGCGGAGACCGTAGACTGGCCGCCGGAGGCTCCACTGGGTGCCAGGAGGAAAGGACCCAGTGAAGCCAGGTGGGCGACGCAGCCAGATCTCCTCGTGCAGGCTGCCCTGCAAGAAAGCAGTGCTGAAGTCAAGAGAGTGCAGCTCGTAGTCGCGGTGAGCAGCTATGTGCAGCAGTACCCGAAGAGTGGTCATCTTCGGGGTGGGAGAGAAGGTCTGAAAGTAGTCAACTCCCTGCCGCTGACTGAAGCCACGAGCCACGT